GGCCTCTAGTCTAGACATAAGAACACTAAGTAAATTAAAATATTTACAGACAGAATGGCAAAGCAAACACTAATGCTACCATTTAATTCTTAAAATTTCTGCCTGAGAAGGGGGGATTTGGTTCAGAATTGTAATGTTCAGTAAGATAATTGTTAGCCTGATAATGTGTAAAAAAACACTAGTGCAAGTGTTCTTGATTCTTCATACTACAAAAAAAAACATTAAAATGTAAATAGTGTCATCTTTGATATAATGATTCAGTATCCTCTCAAAAATAACATTTTTATTCTAATACAAGCTATTTTTAATTAAAAATTTCCATTGGCCAAGGGCAGAGGGCTGGGAAGATGGGTGAAAATGTGAAGGGGAATATAGTCAATAATACCGTGATATGTTTGCACAGTGACAGATGATTACTAGACTTACTCAGGTGATCACACTGTAAGGTATAAAAATAACAATATCGAGTCACTATATAGATGCCCTAAAATAATATAATTAATATGACATTGTATACCACCTATGCTTAAATAAATAAAAGTAGTTATATGAAAAAATAAAAATAGAATAGAATAGAATATCCTCTTGCCATGTTAATGCAGAGTTAGTTCACAGTTAAAGAAAAGCAGCTTACTGATTGCTTAATGAGACAAGTTCCAACACAGTCCTCCCTAACCCCCTACATTTCTTTATTCTCCCTAACCTCACTTTAGAATTACTACAATACATTATAGGCATGAGGCATGAATTACTCAACAGAGCATGTCCTACAGTTTTCTTTATTTAACATCTATCTATCTATCTATCTATCTATCTATCTATCTATCTATCTATCTATCTATGTGTGTGTGTTTAATGTGCAAATCAACCAAACAGCCAAACAGGGGAATGACCGTCTGGACGACCACAAAATGACACGCACTGGCACCAGGCCAGCCAAGGCGATTGGTCGGGGGGCCCTGCCATCACCCCACGATTGCCCCACAAGGGAGGCTCAGGTCACCAGCTGGTGGGGCATTCAATGTGGGGGTGGGGGGGAGGAGGGGTGACTGTGGACATGGGCAGCACATGGCCAAGGCAGGTGCAGGTGGGGGGTGGGGGGCGACTGGCTGCAGGCAGACAGGGGAAGCCCGGGTGCCTGCAGCTGGAGGGAAACCCAGATCCTGGGTCCTCACAGCCAGAGGGAAGCCTGGATTCTGGCAGCCGGAGGGAAGCTCATGTCCTGGGTTCCAGCAGCCGGAGGGAAGCCGGGTCCCAGTTGCTGATAGCCGGAGGGAAGCTGGAACTGGCAGCCAGGGCAAGGAAAGCCTACCCTTGCATGAATTTCGTGCATTGAGCCTCTAGTAATGCAAATAAATGGTGTTAATGGCTATATTGTTAAATATTGTAGTCTACAACAAGCATGTCAAACTCAAAGGCTAGCACGAGCCAAATAAAAAAAGGCATGTGGCCTGTGGGCCATGTGTTTGACATGCTGGGTCTGCATACTCAATTTACAGGTGGTATAAAACTCTGGTATATTGGTAGAGAAATAACAATTGAGAACAAAAGCCTACAAACAAGTAAAACGAAGGATATTGTGTGCTTGTTTTTTTTTTTCCTTAGAAAAAGCTCTTGAATCACTGTATAGTTTGGTTGTTTTAGATGTTGTTTGTAAATGTAGCAGTTTGCTTGGAAATTGGACATGCTTCCTAATGGAACTTTGAGATATTTAGGTATAAAGAGTAAAGGATGTTGAACTTTAATTTTTTTTCTAATGACTTCCAAAAAGATGTAAAGATAGAATGTTATTTGTCAAGAGCTTTGTTACACAGTGTACTTGATTTAGCGAAGTCCCTGTGGTAGTCCCTGCATATGGAAAGACAGAGGCAATGTCTGCAATTATAATAGAAACTTTTAAAGACACATTTGAAAGCGGATCATCCAAACACCAATCTAAAAAAATGGAAAAACAGAAAACAAAAACGGTGTTAATAACTTTTGGAGTATTTTTGAAAGAGCTTGGATTTGGTAGACCAAAATATGGATATTTTATAAAGGTCTGAACTGACAGTGTTTTATATGACTTGCAAACTATTAACATAATTGACTACATATATATATGATTAGGTAGAAATATAAATTTGCTTTCATGACTTCTAGGAAATGGCTTAAGAAGGATTCTTTATGAAATTTAGCACTTTAGTGTTCAGAAACTGTTCATCTTCTTTTACCTCACAAAGAACTGGACTGAGATTACCGGCTTATTTTAGCTGGCCCAAAAATAAAATAAAATAAGGATAGCTTTGTATACAGTATTTGTGTGTGTGCTCTGTTTATATGCAAAACTCAGCATGCTTCCTATGAACTAGCCTGTCTTCATAGAACCCCCATAGGATGTCCATAACCTTGATTTAAGGTGTAAAATATGAAGAACTTTAAATATATATGTTATATATATATATCAGTATACATATACATATTACACTGTGTAGTTTAATTACAGTAATGTGATCTTGAATTTATTAAAAGTTACCTTGCTTTTACATTATCAAACTTTTAAAAAATCAAGCTCTTTTCAACCCCACAGTGTTTCTACCTAAGAAATGTTTTACGGATAAATTTTATTTCCCATTTCTTTTTTAAAAACACAAAATACAAGCTGATTTCTCTTCTGGAACAGGATATTTTAAGTTATAGTTTGGGTAGTTTCTGCACGTAAAGTTAGTATAGGATTTAAGAAAAAGTATGAAATTAAGTTAAAAAGAGACACTTATAAAGCTCCTTTGGTAAGTATTTCAGATCTGTACTTACCATGAAAAAGCAACCACTTTAGAGAATTGTATAATATCTCAATTACTGAGGCATCATAAAAATAGAATTTCTTTACTTTGGCAGAAGTTTAACAATAAATGTGGATTAAACACTGTACCTGAAAAGTATCTTACTGATATTTTTCCATGAAACTATTATTTATAGTAGGATAGTATTTTAAAAGTGATATGCAAAAAAGTTCCCCCAAATTAAAACTTTGTCTATCTCACATAAAAGAGGAGAAAAAAAATTAGAAAAAGAGAAGAGAGTCACAAAGTGATAAAAAACAAAATACCAATGGGAAAATTTTAAAAAATTAGTTTTTATAAAGCATTCATCACCAACCTTATGGTTTCTGATCTAAATTAGATGTTATACACATTCCATTTATTTTTTTTTAAATAACCTTCCTAAAAACTTATTGCTTTTAGGCCATGGTCATTACTTTTATGACCTGAAATAAATGTGTCAGGCATATCAATCAATTGGCACCTATCCTTTTGTTAAAGGTAGAAAAAAGATGACTATTATATTGTAATACTTTGTTCTCTCTCTCCTCCTCTTTCTATTTTTTTTTGTTTGTTTTTTGTTTTTGGATGGTTGGTGATTTGTTTGCTTCTCCTGGTTCCTGTTGATCAGTGGTGTTTGGCCAGTTTGTATTTTTCCAGACATCACTCCACGATGTTGTTGAGGTGTATGATGGGCCAACTCAGCAATCTGCTCTGTTATCTTCCCTCTCAGGATCCCATTCAGGTATCCTTTAATAGCACTGCCATGCATCAGTTATTGATTAAAGACTGACTTTGATTGATATTGTAGTGAAAGTTGAGATTTATGTCATCCATATGAGAGATAAAGTAAACTGAAACTAGAATTACTCGTTATTTCTTTTAAAAAATAGAAACACAATTAATAGTAAATCAAATGCTTGAGACAAATACAACCATTTACTGGGATTGTAATCAAGTAAATATCATATTTAGTCTCTTAGTTTCTGGTCTTTATTGTAATATAACATATTTAAGGGTTCTTTAAAGAATGAGGTGATATGTTTCAAAATGTAATGAAAGCCTGCCAGTAAAAAGTTACAATTAAAGCCGAACCCATTGAAAATATCTTGTCAGTGGTAGGATATATTGACGTAATTTGATAGAACATAGACTCACGTTTTCAAATGACAGTGTAAATATAATTTGTTAGGTTTACTGAATGAAATTATTTATGATATCTTAGTGTTTGTTTTGTTGAGTAGGAGAATCACTTCCACTGAGTTCAGGTAATCAGATCACAATTCGATTTACTTCAGTTGGACCAATAACAGCTAAGGGATTTCACTTTGTTTATCAAGGTAAGTGACCCGGTAGCCTAGAAACACACTAAGGAATGATTTCGGTTTCCATGCTGTGTTCAGAGTTATTGAATGATCAGAGATCCTCATAATCATATGGGAGAGAAAAAAGTTGTTTTTCTTTTAACAGTTTTTCTCTGTTCCTTCCCCATCACTATAGCACTATTACCTTGTCCAAAGACAAAAAATACCTTTTGCTTTCATTATCATTCTCAAGTTAATAGTATGATTTTCCTTTCTTCCAACATATTGTTTTCAAAACGCTTATTTTTTTCTGATAATTCTTTAGTTTCTGCATAACCTATTTTGCTCATAGTCTAGATCTCTAAATTGAATTGTACAAAATTCTGTGCTGATGTACTTAGATATGCCAAGGAACTCATCACTTCATTCAAAAATTTTAGTTTCTCATTCTCAGGAGAATTCAAATGTTCTTCATGGCTACTAAATATTTTTGTGCAATTAAACATCGGTTTACACAGTTTTTCTCACCTTTTATGGACAGTTTTCTATATTATCATTAACCTAAATTGAGTTATTATTTGAAATATTTTGTTTTAGTTATATGTGATCATATAGTATTCTCAAATGTATCTTGAACTTTCTTAAAAATTATAATCATTTGTGATGTGATATTTTTATTAAGCCCTCATAGTTCATTTATAATATTGGTTATATTATACTGTCTTATTTTTAATAGTATAGCTTGTGAAAATAATGTGGGGTATTATGAATTTTAAAGGCACTATTAAAAGTTGAATTACTTTTACTTTAATCACATAAAAGAAATCAATCTATTTGGATTTCATCATATCATTTTTTGGGCTGTTGTCAAACTCTGTAATCCCATCTGTATGTGTTTTAAAAAGAAAAAACATCCTGTTATCATTCTATTTTACTAAACCAAAAAAATAAAACAAAACAAAAACACCCTCACAATTAAAGGATATAATAATTCTATGAGCAATTTCACATTTGATGTTGTACAATTACTGAAAGAGAAACTTCTATTGTTGTTAATCTGTCTGACTTCCACTTAGTCTGAATGTAGTTATAGTATTCATCAATAACAAACATGTTTTGAACACTAAGTTTGTAAACATGCTATGAAATTAATAAAGTGTTGTGTTTTCTTTTTCAAATCTATGTTTTTAAGAAACAACTACTGATAAAAAATTTGACATTACTTCATGTAATCTGCCATGTATTTTTGGACCTCGGTATACCAGTTTAAAAAGAAAAAAATATATATCATTCAGTGATCACCCCAAAAATTGAAATATATAACTCATACTACTTTGCTATATTAATAAGAGTTTGGTAAAACAAAAAATAGAAAAATACTTTAGTTAATGTTTAAAGGAATGAAGCAAAATATTTTTAACTAAAAGATCTTGATGACAATATTCATTTGAAGTTGTATTATATTCTGTATTAATTTTAAAACTTTTAGAAATGTATTCAAGTTTTTAATTGAAGTTTTGATAAAAAGTGGAGATTTCTTTGAAATCTTCTTAAAAAGCTACATTTGTCAGTATGTATTTAATATGAAGTTAAAATCAATAACTGTTTGTATGCAGCTGTTCCTAGAACAAGTTCTACACAGTGCAGTTCTGTGCCTGAACCAAGATTCGGAAGAAGGATTGGCAATGAATTTGCTGTTGGTTCATTGGTTCTTTTTGAATGCAATCCAGGATATATTCTCCATGGATCCATTGCAATTAGGTGTGATACAGTGCCCAATTCTTTGGCCCAATGGAATGATTCCTTACCCACCTGTATTGGTAAGTAGTAAATTTCTATGCTTTATCATTGTACATACTTTATATCAAAATTAGTTATCTTGCATCTTTTAAGTATTTCTATTTCAGATCTTATAGTTATACATTGATTTTTAATTATTTATTGGTTATAATGTACCTAAATTTGCAAGTTAGAGTGGATATTTGATGCAATTGAGGTATGCTACAATCAATGAAAAATAGTTTGTTTTGAATTAGCTGGAAAGTGTCCTCACTTATTGATTTATATGGATAAAATGTACATCATATTTCCAATAATAGAATTTGAATGCTCCTAATAAGTGATTATCGAAATAAATATTATTTTTTCATTTTTAGAAGTTTATTTAAAGAATTTTATGCCAATATGTAAAGAATTTGCATGTCTTTTAAAGATCACAGAAGCTTATTAAAGTACCTACATATGTGGTATAAGTACTGAAATAGCTCTTTAACAGATCTGTTTGTATACTTATGCTAATGTCCTAATTAATTGGGTAGTCTGTTGTAAAGAATCATGTAAAATTGAATAAAATCCTAACAGCTGGGAAGTATAGTAGGTTCTCAGAATAGGGTTAACTAAGTCTTGGGTAATAGGCTTTTATTGTGACACTGAAGAGTAGTGAGTTACTACATAATCCTGGAAAATTTACATAACCTGATTCTCGATTCCTATATGGATAAAAAAAAAAAAGAGGACTTTCCTTAGGTTTATTGTGGCTATTGGATGATTTAAAGCCTTGGCAGAGGTCTTGGAACCTAGTATGCATTCTAAAATTAAGTTGTTCTTTTTTTTTGTTGCCAAATCCTCCACCATAGAATCAGGAGATTCTAAAGCCATGAGATCTGAAATATAGAATTTATATGTTGTGTTGATAAAGTATTTGATATTATTGATTTTTATTTGTTGATAGGTTGATTTAATAACACTTTAAAGTTATTATATTTAAAATTTATGTTTCACAGAAGATTTTGCATCTTGGAAAGGGCTGAAGCATGGTATCTGTGTCATTCTTTCCAATTCTACTAATTTAGCATTCCGTAAAGATAACATTTTCCTTTATACTTAAAACTTTTAAGAAAATTTTACATAAGTAAAAATATACTTTGCATTTTTATTTTTAACTATAAATATTTTAGAGGAAATACCATGACAATTTTTTTAGAATTATAATGATTATTTATTACAATAAGCTAGTTAGAGAGACAGAAATTTCTTTCCATCAGTTGCTGCATTCAAGAACAAATAGTTTAAAAGGAGAGATTTTAAAAATATGCATATAATCATATTTGGTTTGTTTTTATCGTTTTCAAGGGTTAAAATAAAGTTAAAATTACAATAACAATCACTACAATTCTAATTGGCCTTGAAAATATATATTTAAGTAATGGTTTGTAGTCTGTGTTTTTCTAACCCTGAAAAATTTAAACATTACATTATCCAAGGAAATTTCTTTTATGCACAAAGATATGATGATGAGATAGGAGTAGAAAGAAGAAGAAGAAGATAGAGGGGAGACATGAGCTGATATGAAAGAAAAGAGAAAAAAGGAAAATGAAAGAATATTTTAGGAAGAGGAAAGAAAAATGAAATAAAATAATATTTTGGAAGGTGAAGGTAGAGAATAAAAATTCTAAATTTTTAAAATATAAACTTTTTGTTTAGAGTAAAACTCCTATATGATTATTATAAAGCCTTTTTGTATGTCAAACATATCCCTTTGCTAATGCCAGTGTTTTTGCCATCAGAAGTAAAATTCCATGTAAATAAAAGGAATTTTTTTTTTTACATCATTGAATAACATTTTTTACAGCATTCAATAATGGATTCATCTCAGCAAGGTGCTTCTACCAGTCAGGAAAGATTATGCAAATCTATGGCTGATATTCAAATTTAGGAGTAAATGCTAATGTACTGTCCTCTGTCTAGATGGTTTCAGTCACAGTTTCTACTTTAAGGTTAACAGATGAAAAACTGAGGAACCATTACAATCTCTCTGTCAAAACCCATCTCTTTGTAGGTCCCTGGGCTTTTTTAGAAAGTTGCCACTGCATCTATGGAGCGTCTTTAAACATAGAACAGACCACCTTTCATTTTTCATTGGTTTGAAAGTGCATACCTAGGGATAGAAATTGTATCAGATGATTTCTATTTCCTGCCAAGATCACATGAAAAGGACATATTACCTCTACCACTTAAAAAATGTTTCACCCTATAGAAAACTGAATACTAACAGAAGGACACACGGAACCTGTGTGAGACAAGAAATAGAAAGGCGATGATTCCAAATGACAGTCAGATGATGGCTCAGCTTAGGTTTTACCATTTGGCCCAACTGCTCATCTTTCCATAAGTGAAGATATACTTTGCATTTCTATTTTTAACTGTAAATATTTTTAGATTCAAATATTCTGACCGAAATTTGTTGTCTTAAAATATTCAAAAAAGAAAAAGCTTATGTCTTAAAGATTCAAATATGAGTTGAGTACAGAGTTATCATAGATTGATATTAAAGTATTAGCTATAATTTGTGTTCCTTTTCAATATCTGTTAACAGGTGAAATATGGACTTTCTCAAGGCATTTGAACTCTGTATTTCTTTTCCTTGGTGCATGCATCCTTGAGATTTTTTTGGTATTACTGAATTACTTCGTTATATTATTTTTTTTGATATCCTAGCTAAAATAATATTCTGCTGTCCATCCTCTGTTTTTTTCTCTTTGTCCTTACCCTGCTTTTCTTTTATAGCAACAACCCACTATATTTTATAGTTTTTAAATTTGGTTTAATACTCTTGACCTTTCCCTTGCCACTATATTGTTTTTCTTTTCAACTGAGAGAGGATCTGTCTGGCACAAAATAAAGTGTTCTCTACACATTAGTTTAATGATTGAATTTTAACAAAGAACTGTTATTTCCTCAATTTTTGTTGAGGTCAAACTAGAATCAAAATATGGGATGTTGAGTCTCTGAGTTCATTGTCTTGTGAAACCAAAGAATGAAGTCAAGGACAAAAAACAGTTAGTGGAGCCAAGTTTATTGAGAGTATCCATGGGAATTAAAACCTATTAGTCCACGTGTGGAGGTCCGCGTGGCCATAAACCATGTGCTCCCCACCACAGGAAGGTGAGGAACCCATTGTGTGCTGGGGACAAGAGAGCAGCAAGAGGAAGCGCTTTTAGTTTGGGGGTGGAGACAGCCTTGCTAGCTCCTGATTGGTCCTGTTAAAAAGTTTATGCCTCTTTGGATGCACCCCTCCTTCCCCGCCCAGTTGGGGTGCCTTAGTAACTCCACCTGCTGGGTTCCTGGTTCTGTTTTCCCTTCCTGTGGTCCCGCTCCTATCTGCCTAGCTTCCCTCTGTCTCCTCAGAACAATTGGCCAACTTTTTGAGTCCAGGGTCCATGGGTTACTTTTCATTTGTTTTGTGTGTTTTCAATTTATATTTATTGTTTAAACTATTACAGATGTCTCCCTCTTTTTGTCCCCCCAGGGCCCAGACCTTTTAATTTCAGCCTTTGGTGATGTTCTTGCTCACTTTGCTTGGTTAGACCTTTACAAACCACCTTAAGATTCATGCTCCTCTGAGAATCCCTAGCCTTTATAATAAAAGGCTAATATGCAAATTGTCTCCTCCACCAGGAGTTCCACCAGGGGGTGGGGGCAGCCGGCCAACTGCCTGCATCCCTTCCTCCCAGGAGGCCCGCCAACCACCTCTCCCTCTGGCCAGCCTGGCTTAATTGGCCCTGACTAGGGTGGGCCAGCTGGACCCTACCCATGCACAAATTCATGCACTGGGCCTCTAGTTCACAGTTTAACATAAACAGTAGAGTTAAACATTGTATGTGTAATTTTATTCTGAGAGAGGAAAAATTCTCTATCTATACTCTATAGTTTAGATATACTATTTGACAATTTATTTATGCATAATTATTGTATTTTCTCAGCCTTTAGTGTTCAATGAATGCTCCAGTTAACAGCTTAAGCCAAATAAGCATCCAATTGAAATGAAAAGAAAATAGTTTTGTATATGTTTAATGATTTCCATCTCAATTGTATTTTTTAGTTTCACAGTTCGTATTGCTGCTATCAACACTCCCTTTTTTTCCCCGCCATATTAAAACACAATAAAATCTTCCACACTATTGCTTAAACTGACACACTGGAATTAAATTGTTGACTGGAAAGCAGCCCCATTAGGTATGTTATGCAAGCTGTGCTTATAGTTAAAACAGTCAGATACTAAGTTAGGGGCTACACACATTTAAATACCAGTATGTAAATAAAATTTAATAATCATATACAAATCTGTTCTATCAAACCGTTCTCCAGTAAATTGCAATACCGTAAAGTAATATTTTGATAAAAACATTAGACCTGGAACAAATTTAAAATTGAAAACTATGTTGAGGACTATCTTCCAAATTTGACCTTGTATGCTTCAGATTTCTTAAATTTTTTAGTCTCATAAAACCTCAAGTTCTCTGAGCCTCTGTGATTCAAATAACCCCCTGCAGCCACTAATAGCTCTTGCAATAGATGGCCTTAGGCATAAGTATTTGTAGTGAGGTCTCTTTTGAAAAGCCCCTGAGCCTGCCACTTACTAGCCTTAGGCAGAGTCCTTAACCTGCTGCTTATTCCATTACCCTTATCTGGGTTTGTTTTTTTCAAAGTTCTTTAGAGACTCTGAAAGAATTACTTTATTTGCATTGGCTCCATGACAATACCTGTCTGAATCATCTTTGCTTATAGTGTGAAAGGAATAGATGAAGAAATATATACAGGATCTGAACCCTCATTCATTGATTCATGGATTCATCCATCCAACCATCCAAGAAAAAGTTGTAAAATATAATAATAGCAAGTATTAACCTTTGTATGAAGCACACTATTAAGCATTATCTCATTTAAAATCAACACCAACACTATTAAAAAAAAAACATTTGCCAGCACTTTCTTGAGTAATTACCCTAGACCAGTGATGGCGAACCTATGACACGAGTGT